GCAATTTTTAACCTTCTTACATGGGGAAAAGGTTTTTTAAGCTTCTACATGGGTACAGGACCCCGAGTTCCAGCGACAGAGGTGCCAAGGAGACCCCAACAGCAGCTGCTGACCGGACCAGCGTGCCGGCAGTTGGCAGGGAGGCAGGGAAGGAAAACAGGAGGAAGGAGGACCGCACGACGCTCCCCCAGCTCGGCTCGTCCGTTCCGCGCTTTCCGTGTGCCCAGCAGAATCGGCGGTAACCGGGGGATCTCCACGCACAGTCTAAAACCACCCCCCAGGGAGACCTGATCACAACCCTGCCTCACCCGCCCTCCGTGCGCAGCCCTTCACACAAGGCTACAGGAGCAGAAGCCAGGGCAGAGGGCTGCGCAGGCTTCCAGAGGCACACGGCCCTGCTCCCTCCCGCCTACAGCCCCTCTCTCCTCCCACCCGCTCCCGTCGGCCCACCTCCCAGGACTTCCCGTACCCGGGCGAAGACGAGACCACAGCCAGCCGCAGCAGAGCTGGCCTGGATCCCGCCTCCGCCCCTCCCTGCGCTGGCTCCGAGGCCGGGGCCGCGTTCTCAAAGCCTCAGCTTCCTCATCCGTACAGCGGGGACCACACGCTCTCCTCTAAGGACTGTTGTCAGATTTAAATTATGTGAGGCGGGGGATGAAACGTGGGGGCACACTGCCGGGCACACAGTAAGCTAAAGCAAAGGGGCTTCCAGGTGGGATGGTACGTGAACACGTATACCGATGGATAGAAGCAAATCAGCACGCAAAGGGCTTCACGGTGTTTTGCCATGTTTTGCTTGCTTGACGCAGGCTGGAAAAAAAAAAGTCAACAAACCACCACCACCACCACCACCACCGACAAAAACCCCAGAAAAACAGCATGAAAACTTACTCCATGAGCCTGTAACCACAAAAAGAGCTACAGACCCTCAACTTCGGCTCAGAGCCTCCTCACCATCCAGGAAGCCCACCCTATCTTTCAGCCTCATCTCACATTTATGCCTCCACACGGGCAACACTGTAAGTAGTGACATATATGCTTTCAGTTCCAACTTGGGTCAAGAATTCCTTCAGGGCAGTCACCTCTGTCACCCACCCCTTTTCCCAACCACCGAAAGCCCATTAATCGTTCATCCTCTGAAGCCTTTCCTCATCCTCCCCGGCAGAAATCATCACGCCCATCTGTACGTTCCCAACGCCTATTGCTTAAACTCATACTTAGAGCACTTGTTTCATGCTAATTAGCATTTTTTCCAATCTTCTTCCTCACTGGATTCTAAGTTCCACATCATTCAAGTGGAGGGGTCAGTGGTCAGGTGAATGCACAGACCGCAAGACGTAATAAAATAAAGTAACACTTCTTTACCTACAGGAATGTCCTTCTTGAGGGTAAACAAATATTTCCATCATCTTTCTGTGTTCTAAACACAGCTTCACTGGCCTGTCACTACTACAAAGCAGTGTAATGGACAGCAGCAGGGATACGTACTAACTTTTTAGCTTATGTTTTCTGAATATCCAAAAACATCTCTTATAACAATCCTGACAGTTCACTGAGAGAACATTTTATGCCTTACTTATCAAATGATTTATCAGCCCACTTTAATTTCCATTAATTAAGCAGAGTATTAAATCTTTTTGCTACTCATTAAAAGAAAGCACTTCAAAATAAAATTTTTGTTATATGAGGATGATTGTTCCTAAACAAGATCTGATTAAATAATAAACGTTATTTTATAAATCAAATATGAAAATCAATCTCCTTGTTTCATATCACACATACTATATACATTTACTTTATGGAGTTTTATAAATATAAATATCAACTCTTATTTCCCACATATACAAACATGGCTGGAAAGCTGATTTACAACCAAGAGTTTGATTCATAAGCAGTCTACGGTTTAGATAGCATGAGTCCAAATATTAAAGTGCTCAAATTCGCTTCAAATTACAGCAGTCTAAATTAGAAAGTCAGAGTTTTAGCTCATTCAGATTCTAATTCTACTTCTGCTACTAAATAACAGTGCTACCCTAGGCAAATCACTTAACCTCTCTAAATTCTAAGTTTTACATACTTGAAATGACTCTGGATTAGATCAAATTTCCCAGACCCCATTCTTATCATACAAATCACCTTGAACACTTGTTTGAAAATACACGTACTGACCCCTCTTCTAAAGGCTCTATGCTAGCAGCTCTGCCTTGGGGGCCAGGGGGTCTGTGTTCAAAGTTCCCACGGACGCGTGTTCCCCAGGCTCCTCCTGTTTGGGAAGTCTTCTACTACACACTGGTTTCTGATCTCTAATGCTCTTTATGGCTCTAAAGTTCTATGAATTTAAGATTTTATGACATGGATCAAATCCCCCAGCCCAACCTGATGATATCGAACACAGTCCACACGCAACTTCATTTCGCTGTGCAGGAAAGTTCAAAAGCTATCATTCTTAACATCTGGCTCCATTTGCTGTACAAGTCCCTCAACTTTCAAGCCATCCTACATACCAGTATTTGTGCTGACAAATAATCTGACAGCTAACCTGATTTGGGTCAGAACACACTTCTGGTGGAAGGCGATCCCCTGTGGTTTTAATGCACACAACTCGCCATACGTTTAACGCTGACTCACACGTTAGCGTCAGCTCTCAGAGCCTGTGCTTCCAGCCCTGCAACTGTGCCTGGTTCACAATCTGTCCTTTACTCACATATGTGTGACAGCCATCAGGCAGACCACGACTCTACAACCCCTTCTAGCGATCTGACAGATAATTCAGTTAATAGTTATGAATAAACTTTAATACATCATAACTATCACCTGGCTTTGAAACGTAATGCCTGAAAACACTTGCCCATGGATATAAATACAGAAGAAAACATTTTAAAGGCTATACTCTCAAAATCTGTCTTTAAAAGCACTGTGATAGAAAGCATGTGCTCTGCAACGGGTGCTGTCATTTTTTAAAAAAGGCATTGCTTTCAATCCCCACCCACCCCGAGTTAATAAAATCTGGTTAGTCAAACTTGCCTTAGAATATTTCTGCTACCACCACACATTTCTTCCCCCCAAGAGGCTGTGAGGCAGCATACAGAAATAAAAGATCTCAAACATACCAAGATAATTTAGAGGTGGGAAGTGTGGTGGGGGTCAATATATTCAGTACAGTTAAACATACCAGTTTTCATTAGACTTCTCAAAAAGCAGGACAAGGCAGGAAACTGATTCTTACTCCTCTAAAACCAGACCAAACAGTTTCTCAGGAAACAAAGCTTTTACTAGTACTCTGAGAAATTTTCTCACATGGGTCTTAGAAAAATAGAGTACGGCATCATCAGTCAAAATTTCACAGCAACTGGAAAACTTTAAATCAAACTGTAAGAAAAACTGAAAGTATACGATTAAAACACAGATCATTAGGTGTGACACCGCAAGGGTGCAGGTGATGTAGTCAGGCATGAGTGCCTGATGCCCACAGACAGAAGCCAGACCCAGAGGACCAGAGGCCGTATCATTTACATCACGTTCCTTAAATCTCATCTACTGGAGTCAGATTTAATAGCAGGATCGATACAGAGTGAAAGAAACCTGACAGGAATGCGATTAGTCGTCTGCCAAACCTGTATCTTCACACACACAAGCTGCACTAGGAAAAATAATGAAGAAAATGTGGTAGGTTTGTTTCACTCTTATTCAAGAGGATCTAAAATAGATAACCTCCTCTAATGCTAGAAGGACCAGGTCATGTGACGTGTATCTTTGGTACCTGAAAGAACGGGTACTGAGCAAACACAGACACAGACTCAACGTTGCGGACGTGCTTTATAACCATCCATTTGGCCTGAACGATGGAAGCAAAAATAATCAGAGCAGAAGCATCCCACTAGCGCAGTGACTGCAGAGAGGTGGCGGTGAGCGCCTGTGGGGACACCTGAGCACAGAGACAGGTGCACAACGATAGGGGGAACCCGCAAGGTGGACCTGAAGCCGTCAGTGAGAGGTGAAAATCTCACATCTGATAATAAACACTCTTAGTTTTCCTTAATAATTCTATTATAAATCTATTACTAAATTCATTACGTTTTTCTTGAGACATTATTCTCCATTTCTTGAAAGTAACTGTTTTTTTTAAGAAGGAAAATAGGCAGAAAGCAAAAGCGGGTCAATCGTCTCTTTCAGCACTATATTCGGTAAACTAATTTTCGTTCATTCTTTGAAATTCTTCAATTTCAAAACTTCACATCTTCTTCTTGTATATCTCTCTCCTTCCTCCGAAGTAAGGAATGTCTCATACAAGAGCATGATTTAATGAAACGTGCGAATCTGCTGTTGTAATGCCATTCTCGACGATGCCCAGCGTTTTGTAAACCTGAGCTACAGCGGTACCGCAGATTGAAGCGGCATACGATGCACCTGAGCGTCTGTGTGTCTCCACAGACTATCACGAGAGAGGCCTGCCTGCTAGTCCCAAGCCAGCGCAGAGCCCTTCATTGTGTGTTTTCCACAAGAACGCATTCAAGTTGTTAAATAAACTAAAGGATCTGATATACAGACATTTACCAAGAGGTCATTCAAGCATGTAAATGAACACTTACAAATCCCATCTCTTTCCTAATGAGAATAAAAGGATGCACTTTACATCTCTTCTAGTCTCTATGATGGAAAAAAGTTTTTAAATCAAAAAAGAAATCACTTTACTTGGAAATTATGTAATTGTTTCTCCCAGGCATTATAATAGCACCAAACATTCCAAAATAGTTTATTAAAATCTTCCTTAATTTGTTCACTTTGCTATACACCTGAAACACAACACTGTAAATCAACTATACTTCAATTTTAAAAAATCTTCCTTAATCTGAAAATGAGGCTTGTAAGAGAAAAGGTATTTTTTAAACTCTAGGCAGAGATGACAATGCAATTGTAAAACCTATGTCCCTCTGTATTATAATACAATTCACAAACGTACACACTTGAAACAAAATAATCTTGGGTGTATAAAGACTCACCATCTGTATGGGTTTCTTGTGGAGATCTCGCTCTGTTACCAATTTTTCTTGGTCAGTGACATAAAGACCTTTCTGTGCTAAAGCCTGGATGACAGCATCATGGCCCAAAAGGGGTTTGGCAGCGTCGCTCTTGAGAATGAGGCTCCCAGCGCGACAGTACAGTTCAGCCGAGAGAAGCAAATTAACAACAGGCGGCTTGATGTGTTCCTGGTCATACTGATCTGTGTAAAATGGCTCTCGAAGCTCCTCTGGCACATTTTCTACAAAGATTAAGGGGAAACAATTTCTTACAAGGTTTTTATAAAAGAAACACAGTTTATCTAATAATCATTCATGTCTTAAAAGTTAAGATTCCTTCTAAAAATAACAATAACCCTTTAGCTGAAAAGATGATTTATTCGACCTTGGCAGGTAATCTGGAACGAGAAAGAGAGAGGATTTTCCTTTACAGAAGATACGGTTCCGAGAATATTCTAAAAAGCGACTCTACCAAGCCATCAAGGAAGAGACGTCTTCTGAGTCCGGGCAGTCTGCGGAAAGTATTCCCACGTGCACGCTGGAACACAGAGAGCGAGCTACAAGGCTCCGAAAAGCCCATTCCAGCGGATCCGCTCACATTCAAGCGCTCACGATAACAGCTGCTTCCGGGCACCGCTAGGCCTCGACGCCTGGGAGTAAAAAATCCTTTGCCCAAAGCTGCCCGGCTCGCCGGCTGCCAAGCAGGACGCGCCCACTGCGCGCCGTCCCTCCGCCTCCCCGCCGCCTCTGGCCTCTCCTTCCTGCTGGCCCGCGGAGGCTGCTGAGGGGCAGCTACAGCTGCGGTTCTCGGAGAACCACCCTTACAAGTCCTGAACGCCAGCAAGCCCTGTTTCCTCCGCCTTCCCACCGACCCCACCCCAACCCCAAAAAGCCTTCCTGGGCACCCAGCTGCTCCCTTCGAGGGAGACAGACAGGGCAGCTGGGCGATGGGACGGTCTCTGAGCTTCTCTCTGGCGGCCAGGCCATCGCCCGGGAAGAACGCCAGGCAAGGACGGGCGTCGTCCCCCGCGAGGAAAGGCGGGCATCTGAGCAGGAAGCTGGCGTAGAGCCACAGTCACAGAACCTGGCAGCTCTGGCCCGACACCAGCCAGGCCCCCGCCTGCCTCCTCCGGAGAATGAGGGCTCGGGGCCACCCGCCACCCATCACGGCTTTGAGGAGCCTCCTCAACAGGCAGCTTCAGCGTGAGCCCGACGACGCCACAGCGCTCAGCCACGTCAGCCTTCCAAAAGGTGTACTCGCGAGTATTAATATACAACGTAGCAATTTTACCTTCAAGTTCTTGACAGGTCCTATCATTTAGAAAAATATTTTCATCAAATAACAGTATCATAATGATTGCACGTTCACTTTCTATATGAGTATGGTTCTGGGGAATTCAAGGATTTAGAAATAATCCTTACCCTCAAGGAGCCAGTAGTCTACAAATAATCTAGACAGACAGGTAAAGTTCAGCAGTTCAGAAACTGGAGACAACAGTGAGCAATAAATGATCAAGAGGCTTCCCTGGTGGCGCAGTGGTTAAGAACCCGCCTGCCAATGCAGGGGACACGGGTTCGAGCCCTGGTCTGCGAAGATCCCACATGCCGCACTGCAAATAAACCCGTGCACCGCAACTACTGAGCCTGCGCTCTAGAGCCCGTGAGCCACAACTACTGAGCCTCTGTGCCACAACTACTGAAGCCCGCACACCTAGAGCCCGTGCTCCACAACAAGAGCCACCGCAGTGAGAAGCCCGCGCACCGCAACGAAGAGTAGCCCCCGCTCGCGGCAACTAGAGAAAGCCCGCGCGCAGCCACTAAGACCCAATGCGGCCAAAAATAAATAAATAAATTTAGAATGGAAAAAATAAAAATAAATAAAAGAGAAAAGAAAATCAGAGGAAGCATCAACTCCAGAAGCAAGATCATAAACTTACGTTTTACGTATGCTGAGTTTGAAACAATAGCAAAAATACCCAAGTGGAAATATCCAAAAAGCAGCTGGGAATACAGGACTCTGGAAAGAGGTCAAGAGTAGATGTACCAATTTGGGATTTTGGAGACATCTAAAAATAGCATCCTCATTTAATAATTGAAAACACTTTCCTTCCTTCATAGCTGCATTAACCAGTAGTGAGCCAGCCTTAAACTTAGCAGCTGCCCCAGGGTGACACGTGAGCTCCGCTGTAATCTACAGGACACGGGCGCTGGCACTCACCCAAATTCTCGGATCACAGGAGCTAAATGGAAGCTACTCGTAGAGCAAATTTAAAGGGAAATTATTTGATTTGAAGACAATTATTATAAAATGTATACATAATAGATTTTTTTCCCCTATAACAATAAAAAGTGACTAACGCGGTGACTTGGCACCTACACATCTGCTGTGCAAAGAAAAGTGACGGCTCATCATCAGGGTTGCAAACTTCACCGCACCTGTACACCCGCTTACACTTATTTACGGCTTTTACGTCCATTCTCACACATGATCTTTATTACAACTTGGTGGAACTGTCAAATCAGACAATACGCAGAAAAACATCAGGAATGTATAATACTCAATAAGGGTCTTTACGTGCGGGCACTGTCACAAACATGCATTCTGTCGTTCAATACTAACAACCCTCTTGTCCCTATTTTACAGATAAGGAACTCAAGAAAGGTTACCTTGCCCGAGGACACATAGCCGATAAGTGCAGAGTCTTAGCTCTAAACCTTGTAGCTAAACAGATTCAAAAATAACAATCGTTTGCCAGGATCAACAGGCTGGAAGGTGGAAAACATACAGCTTAGGGGCTATTTTCATTTTATTATGACGAACCCACAAATCTAAGTGATGAAAATGTAAGTTTCAAAAAAGATCTCAATGCAAGGAAAAGGGAAGGAATCCAGCAAGTCAAAGAATGTTTCAAGAATATGACAAAAACAGATTATTCCACCCCAAAAGAATGCAAAACTGCATATTGAGTATTGTAAAGTAGGTCACTTTTAAGAACAAGTCTTCAAGAACTAAATATGCTTAAAAGAAGACTTCGAAAATGTCTATCATTTTGCCAACAGTACAAGACTACCATTTTTTAGAAAACAGTTTGGACTTGTATCACATTTTTAAAACAAATGACCTGAAACCACATATTAGAAAATAAACAGGCAAAATGAAAGATAAGAGGTTTCACCCTGCCCCTCACCTCCAGAGTACAAGAAGGTAAGAAATTAATACTTCAAGAAACTGAAACTCCCAGAATTGCAAAGGATAAGAGACAAGTTTTTCTCGTGCACCAGGACTTAAGCAAGAACCTACCTTACTCATGTTATTATAAATCCTGACTAGAGCTAAGCTTTGAAATTAACAATCACCTGAAATGCTTGGGCACAGGCAGAGGGCACAGAAACAGTCTTGCCCAAGGCACTTTTCTATAAAGCTGAGTTAGTACTAGTTGCATCCATGCACCAGCAAATGACACAGATTTCCTTAACACAGTGAATGGTCAGGGGTTACAAGGGGAATGCAATTCAGAAATATCACCACTCAACCATGGGAACACGGCCTTATTTTCCAAATCTAAAAATTATGTCTAAGGCAATTACTAAGACAGAATTTGTGAGTTTCAAAAACTCCAAGTAAAAGTAAGCCCTACACCTGGAACTCTAAATTAACCAAAAGACACAAAAATGGTCAGTTAACATTTTTTTAAAAAATCATAGCACCGGTAATCAAAGAAAGTTACAATGAGACTTTGCCTATCAAAATGGCAAGTAATTTTTAAACCCATAGTTGACAAGGATGTATTAAAATGAGTACCTCACAGAAATCCAAAAAAGAGGGGAGGGCTTCCCTGGTGGCGCAGTGGTTGAGAATCTGCCTGCCAAGGCAGGGGATACGGGTTCGAGCCCTGGTCTGGGAGGATCCCACATGCCGCGGAGGAACTAGGCCCGTGAGCCACAACTACTGAGCCTGCGCGTCTGGAGCCTGTGCTCCGCAACAACAGAGGCCGCGACAGTGAGAGGCTCGCACACCGCGATGAAGAGTGGCCCCCGCTTGCCACAACTAGAGAAAGCCCTCGCACAGAAACGAAGACCCAACACAGCCATAAATAAATAAATAAATAAAGCAAAACTGTCAACAAGTAAAAGTAAACACTAGTATAAAAAAAAAAAAGAGGGGATATATGTATACTATAGCTGATTCACTTTGCTGTAGAGTAGAAACTCACACAACGTGGTAAAGCAACTATACTCCAATAAAGATTAATTAAAAAAAAAAGAGTACCTCCTACATGACCAGAGGGCAAGGACCATAATTATTCCCCATAATACAAACCGTAGCATCTTAGTGCCTGATACATGGCGAGCACAAAATAAATATTTGATGAATGAAAATGTTATTTTTTTTTTAAATTTTAGTCATCAGTCTTGTCCTAAAGGGACTCCCAGATTTCAAATTTCCCCTCAACTCCCAGATTCTGTACTAGTAATCCTAATTTACTCCGTGTACCTGCTTTGAAAAACCTGACAGTTTTCCCCTAGGCCACTCTTTACTTCTGCAATAGTATCCCTCTCAAAACCAAACCTTTTCCAGTTAACCTACATTCACTACCAGCAGGAGGCAGCACGACAGAGTGGGGAAAACTGCGGCTTTGGATTTAAAAGCTGTGTCTTCCCTGACCCGGGACCGTGAGTGCAGGAACTGTCTGTCCAGAGTTCGGGCTCCCCAGCCTGCACAGGTGTGCAGTCATGGTCGCTCCTGACTTCAAGTTCCTCCACCTCTGGGCCCACCACACCGCAGACGCTACAGGGTGCCACGTCTGTCCCTCGGGGCCTGGGCACCAGCTACTCCCCGGCCCCTCACCCTCCTCCCGTGGTCGGCCCTTCCCATGGGGAGCTCAGTCAGTGGTCATCTCCCAGATACACCTTCCCTGACCCCACGCAGTCGTCCTGTTTCAATGACTACTATCCCATAATATTTAGGTTAGCCTATTTCTACCCCCTCCCACTACAATGCAGCCTGGAGGAGAGCGGGATACTTTGAGACGCAGGGACCTCTCCTGAGCTCCAGGTCCTCACAACCCTTCACGAACCCCAAACCAGAGCCTGGTTTCTCAGAAACATGGAAAGGGCGGGGGGGTAGTCCGAGCGAGCTCTATGGGGCTGGACTGAGATGGGAAGTGTCAGTGTGGACACATGGTGGTTGGCATGTATCTGTGACAGAGAGAGTCACATCTGCATGTGCGTGTTTCCTAGC